CTTAACTTACTCTCTCTCTCTCTCTCTCTCTCTCTCTCTCACACACACACACACACACACACACACACTTACGTATGTCAAAGCCAGCAAAAGGTTGCGTAAGTGCAAAACCCACCCACATAAGCAAGAGAGAACTTTCTGTAGCATACCTTAGCACTCACCCATCACATTCAATAGTCTTACAGACATGCTGCACACCTCTGCTATGAACTCCCTTGCACATATGAAGAAAGAGTATGAAATACACAACATTCTCTTATTAACACTACAACAAATACAGCAAATGTAACATCTGTTAGATATATGCACTGTATACTTGTCAATGGGTAGTATGAGGTAGGAATTAAGATTTTGCTTTACAGCGTGGTTTGGGACCAGTGCCGCCCCAAGCAGCCAAAACCAAAACAAACAAAAAAACAAAAAAAACAAAACAAAACAAAAAAAAAGCTGCGACCGCGATCGCAATCTGCGGCGGCAATTCGGCGGGAGGTCCTTCACTCCGAGCCGGAGTGAGGGACCGTCCGCCGAATTGCCGCCGAATACCTGGACTTGCCGCCCCTCTCCAGAGCGGCCGCCCCAAGCACCTGCTGGTGCCTGGAGCCGGCCCTGTTTGGGACGAAGAGAATAGTCAGTTAAGGGATGTGTAAGGGCTGAATGGGCAAGTGGGGGAGTACTGTGGATATTTGGGAGCTAGTGGCTCTAAGTCTGCCCCCAATAATATCTCTTCATCATACATATCCTCAGGGTACGTCATTCCCGTCCCTATCACCAGACCTGATTTGTCAGCCTCCTCTGGGGTGTCACACTGACACTCATAAGCCACATGAGATTTGCCAGTGGGGAAAGCTGCCTCAGGAGCACAGGTGGTGTATCAGACTCAGACTGCTGGTGAGCAGAGGAAAGACATTTCCCAGAGATGTGTCACTAATGTGATGAATACGGCTAGAGGAGCATCACTAATACCTGTTCCAATACCACCTCACCAATACCTGTTCTCTCTCTTCACTCCCCACATAACCACATATTCCCTTCACCACCCAGCTGGGCATTCACACCCCTACACAACGCCCATAACTGCCCATTACCCCCAGCCCCAAACCTTCTTCTCTAGTTCACCATGACTCCTTACTGAGCCCTGCTGGTGAATCTGGGAAGCACAATCAGACATCCAAAACAGCTTATGGATCTGGAGGGCTCTGTCAACTACTCTCAATAGAACTATTTAATGTTATCAAAACTTCCTATATTCCATGTTTTAAAATATTCAGTTTGCATTGTAGTACACGACTGACATCCACACGCATGCTTTGGGGGCTGTCAGTACAGTGGCATAGCTAGAGGTAGCTGAATAATGGAATACCCTGGCCTAAATTTCTCAGAGGGCACATTCTTACAGTAATGTTTCTTTTTAGAATAATCACTGAAAATTAAATTGGGCTCAAAAGAGCATATAAAATTTCAAGATTAATTTCTCGCTCTTTAAAATAAGGATTTCATACCTACTTTAAGTACAAAACTCAATGCAAACTTTACCATGGAGCTACTACTTTGCCTTCATAATATACTTCAATACTGACATACTTTAGTTCTATTAAGTTTACTTTAAAAAAAAAATAAAGGTAAAATTTCCCTTTTAGATTACCATTTACAAATTGAAAGCCTGATTTTGCAAATCAATAAATCCTTACTCTGGAAAAAAAAATCCCTATTAACATCAATGGTCTATCTCGCATGAGAGTGAACAAAGACTTGGCACACACTTTGCTACAGATGACTTACCACACCCCACCACAGGGCATCAGCATAGCTGGAGAAACCTGTTCTTCCATCTTCATCCACTGCATCCTTCTCAGCAAGATAGACAAAATAGGATGAGAAGATCAGTCCCAAGAATCCAATGTACAGAGTGGTTATGAGTTCCTATCACAAAAGAAAGGAAATAGTATGTAAGGCTTAAGTTATGTACTTTCCAGTTTGAAACCAATAACTTTGTTTGGTTTTACTAGCATATTTTGCTGAAAGGCACTATCATGGCAATGCTGTGCAATGGCAATGTTAAAAAGACACTATCAGCATGTTTAGAATGCAAAATGTGCTTCCATAAAAAATAGATGAATCAGTGAATAGCTTTTTATTTGCTTCAAAACTAAGTCATTCAAGGACAAACGGTCCCTGACAGTAGATTTGGACAGGTAAAAACAGACATAAGAGTTTGCAATGTCATTGGCCAACTTTGATGATATGCCTTTTAAAACTGAAGATAAATCCTACCATACATTCTTAGACTATGTGATTTATTTACAGTAAATCTGTTTCTTCTTCACATCCCCCAGCATATTAACAGATATGGGGAGCACAGCATCACCATTCATTCCTGTGCATGGTCTGTTCATCCATTCATGTCCCTGCATACGATGTCCCACCATTTACTCCGTAGTCAGCATCTAGGCCTGACTTACCTTGGTTGAATTTGTGTTAGTCTCTTTGACATCCTATCATGTCTACGTTCTAAAGTGTCCCCACCATTGTAATCTTTTCTCTATTGCAGCCAATTCTGTACCCTGATTTCTCGTCCTACTCTCCTTCTAACTTGATTTATCTTAAGTCATGACTCTTTACATCCGCCATCTTCCAAAGAACCCATCACTACTGCCTCCAGCCTTCTGATGTCTGTTTCATTTAATGCACCTGCTTCCAGACCATAGACAGAACAATTGTTTGATAAATTTTCACTTTGGTATCAAATGTAATGTTTTTATTAGTCCATAATTTCATCAACTGTGCAGCACTTGTTGCTAAAGCAGTTCTCCTTTAAACCTCATCTTTGACATGATCATCAGCATTGATCAAGCATCCTATGTACACATAATATTTGACTTGTTCTACAGTTTGGACTTACAATAAATACCAAGAAGATGATATAGTTGTATCTTGGAAAAGGGACAATGGCTAAAATACATTAGCAGTCTAATGAAATCTACTGCAGTATTAGACATTGTAAAATACCCAAAACTTTCCTTGAATACTCTGTTTATAACTGCAATGTCATATCATTATAGACTTAGACATACATGAATCACTTAGGAGTAACCAACTTGAAGGAAATTAAACTAATTTAAGTTACCCACAAGCACATATATAATGCTTACCTCTAAATATATTTTTCAGACTATTTATTCACCCACACAAGGATTTTCCAAGGATGCACATTATTGCCTTCCACCTAAAACTTTTTTTTATTTAACGTTTTAAAAGGGATCGGAGACTTCATCCACATTTACTTTGTGTTGCCTGAGAGACTGTTTTGTCTTTTGTAATACTTTTTATTTAAGCTTTGCCACCTGCAGGAAGACTGAATAGTAAAATTTACTATATGCCTCATCTGTATCGTTCCCTGGTTCTTTATTGTGTTCTTCTAGTCAACATTCTGAATTCCAGAGAATTCTTCTCCTTTATTTTGTGTCCCAAATATTGCAAGAATGTTTTTTAAAAATAAAACACAAGTCTAACAAAGAACCCCTCTATTTAAAATAGATGTTTCTCTCCCACCATCCTTCTGTCACGTCTTACACTAGCATCCAAAGCTAAATGTCAGAGTTCCTGGAATATCTGGGTTTTATTACCTTACCCTGTAATTTCTTTCTGCTCCCTTCATTTTTTCATTACAGCATCTCTCTAGTGGCAATGGTGAAGCCTTGGAATGCTCCCCAAGACAACTGCTACTTGTAGCATCGGGAGTCAAGACTCTACAAAGCCTGTCCACTGAAACTTCACTGAGATAATCCAGATTCAGTGTACCTAATCAACTTTTGCACAAAACAAAGCAGGTTCCCTTCTCAATAAATTTTCAAGTAATCCATTAGTGCTGATTGTTCCCTCTCTAGTTTCAGTTTTTAGTAGCATCCAGTTTCACCTGTAAGTCCTTTTCTCAGCTCTAGTTGCCGGATGCATTGGTTGAGCAAGGAAGTCAGAGCTGAATCTTCACTAGTTTGTTGTTCCATTGTGGTCAACCTCTCCTCCACCAACTCTGATGTCTCTTTTTGTACAGCAGTTAATACACTGTGTATGTCTGATCTTATTGCTTTGAACTCCGTTAAGAGTTCCTTTTATATTTGCAGCTCACATTGTTTTCTCTTGGTTTTGGCAGCTTTCTGTGCTATCTTGTCCAAGTCATTCCTCTTTCAGCAGTGTTCATCCATTCATTATGCTAAGATATTGTTTAGTTTGTAGGCATGGGTTACTCTAGCTATGGACAAACTAGGCAGCTTCCTAGGGCAGCAGATTTGTCCCAGCTGCCCTTCTATCACGATGAAGGGGTGTTCTGGCCAAATATGAGTGGCATTGTGACCCCATGCACCAGGCTGCAATTCCAGTCACTCAAATTTGACAGATGGACAGCTGGGTCAAACCTGCCATCCTAGGCTTATAAGGAGAGGGGTGGCACACTGACGTTTTGCCTAGGGCAGCAGATAGTCTTGAGCTGCCTCTATTTGTGGGTGTCCATTTAACAGTTGGAAAGCCTGAATTCAGTAGACTGTAAAGGGCAAGAAAGCCAATGGAGGCAGATGTTCTAGATACCAACTGAGCATGAAGTTCCTATGCTTCCATCCCCAGGAGATGATATCACTTCCCACTGAATCAAGGTACTACTAAAGCTGTCTGTGTCTTGCTTCAAACCAAAGCCCAACTACAAAACATCCAAGCTACTGGTAGATGTCACAAGTCACTGGAACACAGAATCTACTACTTTCTCACTGATTTTACCTTAGAATGGAGGCCAGAGACCAGACAATAGTTGGAGAGATTTTCTATGTGAAGTATTAGCTTTAAAAATCAGGCAGACAAATGAGATTTTTAGTGGAATTGGGCAAGATCTCAGGATCTCACTGTGACTGAAATGTCACCAGAACTACTGAGGATATTTCAGCATCGGCATCTCTAAACTGTAGCCCTATTCATCAAAGCCTGAACCCTTGTCAAAACTCAGTCTGGATGCAAACATCACTTCCTCTGATCATCTCTAATGGCCACTCTGAATACGTACGTACATGTTTAAAAACAAATATTGCAATAGCAAGTGTGTATATATAAATATTAAAAATAATTGTTCCAGCAGCCCTATACTAAGGAGATATGTGTAAGATAGGCATGAGCGCCAGGTTTGTATAATTTTTGGTGGTGCCCAGAACAGGTCCAAGCAGAGCCGTCTCATACATAGGACGGACCGGGGCAACCACTCCGGGCCCCAGGGGGCCCCGCGCTTCAGGGGCACGTGGGGTCCTGGGAGGCCTGCAGGGTTAGTGGGGGGGCTGGTGCCAACAGCAGGGAGAAACCCAACCCCAGCCCACCCTGCTCTGCTCCGCTGGCTCCCAGCGTCGCTCAGGGGAGGGGGCGGAAGCTGAAAAGAGGCAGGGTGGAGGTTTGGGGGAAGGAGCAGGAAGAGGCGGGGTTGGGGCAGAGCAGGGGCGGGAAGAGGCAGGGCGGGGGTTTGGGGAAACGGGTAGTGTGGGGGGTGGGGGCAGAGTAGGGGCAGGAAGAAGTGAGGCGGGGTGGAGCAGGGTGAGGTAGGCTGGGGCTGGGTTGCTTGCTGCTGCTGGCGCCAGGCCCCCCGCTAACCCTCCAGGCCACTCTGGATCCCGCATCCCCCCGAAGCACGGAGCCCGGGGTGGTTGCTCCGTACTGTCCTATGGATGGGACGGCTCTGAAAATATAAGCCCAAACATTGGTAGAGTCGGGCGCCATCACGTTCCTGAATATTGATGGAGAACAGGCACCACGGACCCATATAACTCGCCGCCTATGAAGACAGGATATAAAGATTTCAACAAAAGTGAACTAAAGTACATATAAAGAAACAGGATTTGATGGCTTGCACTAATATAGCATCTAACATCTGAAGTCCCCTGAATGTTTTGCAGAAATCAAGGCTCAGATTATCATCTCTATTTTATAGCTGAAGTAACAGACAGAAGTTAAATAATTTGCCCAATACAAGAAAGTCAGAAGAAGGGCCAGATACACAACTCAAGAGTCCAGGTCTTGCAGTCCTTGCACTTACCACACAGCAAAGCTTACTCTCGTGCTTTTGATTAGGACAGCTAACGTACTGAGATGCTATTCATCAGGATCACAAAAAAATAGTCACAAAAAAATTATTTTCCTTTTCTCCTCCACAGAAGTCCAACACACTATACTTTGCAGTTATGACTTAAAAATTTTTTAGTGGTGGGGTGGTGTGCAAAGAAAGCCAAAATCACACTTGCATATTGGGTAACATGATAAATCCGTATTGAGGCGCTTAAGTCAATACGTTATTTTAAACCTGGACACATTTTTAATTATGACAAATTATCCCAAATAATAATACTCAGAACCATCAATTGACCTTCTATTAGAAGCATTATGGCAGCTCACAAAGCAAGATGAGGGATAAGTGAACCTCTGTGATTAGAGACTCATAAGCTGGAGCTCGATAAGTTAATTCAATAGTTTTTCAGTGAGCTCCATGATTTTTTCCAAGTTTTTCCATCACCATATGTGATATTGACTCATGTTCTGTTGCCTTTGGCAAAAACCACTAGTATAAGCTTAACCTGCTGAAAATAGCTGAGTGCCCTGGCCAAATCGGGTTTCAGTGAGCTAATACAGCTATACGTAAAACTCAGACACACATGGAAAGCATTGGTTCAATCTTCACTAAGCTTTCCTGGGCACAGACAGATACAAGGGAATCCATTTTCAATGGAACCCAAATAATTTACTTTTTTGCACTTTTCAGGGATTTAGGATCCTATTTTATATTGAAAAAGTATCTAATTCATCAACAACAAGAACAAATAAAAGTCTGCTTTGTACGCTGGCTGCAAAGAAAAAGAAACTGAGATCCTTTTTTCTTTAAAACGCAAATTTCTATTGCAGACTGGAAGGGAATAAAAGTTCTGTTTTCCCTTCTGTTCACTGCAGTTTCAGCTACACTTATCCAATGTCAATAAAGTATATTTTTGATTTTGAACTGCTCATGTGTCAGTGGATGATCTCCTTGGTCAAGCACCACAGATATGAAGACTGTTTATAGATCATCATAATCACTTCTCTGGAGTAATAGAACTTCAAATTCATTTGGTTCATGGGCTTATCTTCTCCAAGGTATTTTTTATTTGCCCCCAGAAAACCCCCACAGTAAGCTTCATGAATGCTAAGAAAATACTTTAGGAGACTAGTCCAGTATTATATGGATAGCCATGTAGTGTAGAGATAAACAATGAAGCTTACACTGACATGGGCCATTAAAATTACTCCTGTCATATAGAAATGAAGTGGATTTGTGTTGAGGGATTTTTGCTGTTTGTTTTGGGATTTTTTTTAAACAGGAATTCAATGTTTTTCAATGGAGTTCAGCCTGTTGGAGCTGAAGTTACCTGCAGTGCAGCAGAAATGTTAATAGCACAAGAATAACTATACTATAGATGTTCACTGTTTTGCTTTAAGCGGCTCCCAGTCATCTGTAACATAACATTACATAACAAGTGTAATGCTGAAGTAAATGCAGGTGGCACCTGTGATGGAAGTTCATAGTTGTTTACACTAATTGGAGAACAGATTTATATGAAGAAGTGTGAAGGAAGGACTGTCATAGGAGGCGAAATAACTGGCTATAAAGGTGAAGAAATCTATAGTGTGGAATAAGCCACTATAATATGACAGGATGAGTAAGAGAGAATGACAATAATATTATGTTGATATGGTTAACCTCAAGCACCGGTTTTAATCAAAAACTATTCAAAAGTTACCCTTTAAAAAGGGCTCTTCAATCATTCATTTGCCAAAGTCTGTGTAAAAGTCTATACGAAAAGTGATTATTTAAGCTGAAGTACTTCTGAACAGGAGAGGTAATGCTAAAATGTAAAAGCTTTAACAAAAACAGGCTGCTATTTATAGAAATATTTACCTGTATTTCACAGCCTATATCCTTAGATAAAATAGTGTTTCCTGCATGTTATAACACTATATTTAATATTTTTATTTATAGCACAGATTAGAAACCCCAATATTTAAGTAGCTAAATAAAAAGGAATGGTTAAAATGGTTGATGTGTTAACTTAAAATGTTTCCTCTGGTTTTTGTTTTTTTGCCAAAATAACCTGGGCTAGAAGACATTTCCTGCAAATACAGCTGACAGCATTTTTATATGCGAGACAAACCATGTAACTCTGTTTAATAAATTATGCCTGAATAGTTCCATCAAACTTCACAGAGAACCATTATTCACAGCTATAATGCAAATTTCCAGAAAATACCACTGCTGGTGCCTACTAGCCACCAAATTGAAAGAAATATTCAGCCTAATTGTGTTCCTGTTTTAAAAATAAAAAGAAACGTGATTGTCTTTGAAAGTGATTCATTCTATCTTGCAACAATCATTGTTCATTTTAAACCAGATCATGATTTGAAGTCCAAGAGATGAATAAGCTTCATAGGCCATATGTTAGAGATTTTAAAATATCCAGTACCTGACGATGTATGAAAACAACTGATCCTAAGAGTCTCCAAGTGCCACCCTGCCGATCTACATGAAGCATGCGAAGTATCTGGAGAAACCGGATTCCCCTGAAAGAAAAATGCGAAATGAAATCAAAAACTTAAATATCTATACAAACTATTTTTTAATCTGCACACAACCTTCAGGATGCATTTATATACTGTAATTAAAAAAAACCACAATAACAAAAAACATGTGCATGATCATCCTTCAGGATGCTGAGCAACTTCTCTTCCCAGAGATGTGCCTGGGAATTAAGACTATTCAGTACCTTGTGTGTGTGGACCCATAAATTTCAATACTGTATACTACTCTGTATTTAAGTGTATAGTATATCAATATACCAAACAGTTAAATAAATTGTACAACTATTTGTTCATACTCATAAGCACATTACATTTACACTTATTTGTGACTCTCAAATGTTTGCTTTATGAGAACATTCAGTACCAAAACTTTACTAGCGTGAACACTTGCAAAAAGTAAACTTTTAACCCTTATATTTTCCAAAAGCAAAAACTGAATTGAACGTTCAATTGTAAAAGTCACAATTCTCACTTTTTTGTATGTTTTTAGTTACATAAATCATCCAATCAGCGAGTAGAGACAATACTATGCAACTTAGGTAACCAAACAGAACATGAATTTTGATTTGGGAACTTTTGCAATTCAAGGAAGGTGAAGAGCACCTGGTCGAAAACGGACCCCCCCAGCTTGGTGCAAATGTGTGAACGATGGAGGGAGGGGGGATGGAAGGAGCGGGGTGGGGCCTCGCAGAAGGGGAGGTGCAAGAGTGTTCAGTTTTGTGTGATTAGAAAGTTGGCAACCCTATGCTGAAGAAATGTATGAATAATTTTAAATTAATAATTCAAATTAAAATATTTCTCATTAGTTTGGTTAGGTTTTATCATGATCTCTTTATTTCTTCCACACACACACTCTTAGCCATTGCTTATAGCAACTACTGTATTGAAATCCTATCACTGAATCTTAGTAGCCAGAGAAGGAAAGGAATCACCTATCCATCTGCTACTGCAAGATTGTCCTTCAAGTTTACTTTCTAGTGACCTGTCCAAATCCACAGTCAAATAGGTTTTACCACTAGGATATTTTTTTAATTCATCCAATTTTTTTCTTTTTATCATCCCATTAGAGTTAAGCTCTCTTGTGCCACATTAATAGGCAGGAACCTCAACAGTTTTCTCCACAATGATGTCCTGCAATCCCTATTACTCCTCAAAGACAGGTACTGCATTTGCCTTTAGAAACTCTAATCTCTCCTTCATTTAAAGTTTGCTTTTTTCTAAGCTTCCCCAGAAGAAAAAAATAAAAAACTTACTAGAGCCTTGTACTTTTTGACCCCACATGCAATACTAAGCACTGTACCACGACACTGTGAAGCCTGAATGGCAGCATACATAAATGGCATTTCGTTATTCTTTGATATGCTATTGATTTTACACAGTTGTATTACATTTTAGAAATTTAACTGCAAACATGTAATTTTTTGAAATAAGGACTGAAAGAGGAGAATTCTCATAATATGTGGTATGCCAACACTGGCTGGTTCACACAGCTCCCCCATGGGGGGAAAAGGAAAGGACACAAATACAATTTTTAGATGCTCCCCTAGGTTTCTTTAATTTAACGGCTGACAGCAAGTAGACATTATGACATTTCTTGGTTGAGCTGTCTTTAATATATCTAAGTTGCTTACCATCATGGCGTCCAACTGCTGACATGGACATTATGGGCACTTGATCAATGATATATTACCAAAATTGATGTTTGTGGAGTATCAGAGACAGGCATAGCTGAGGCATAGCTTCTCTGCAAATGCACAAGCTCTCCGCAAACGTAGAAGTGATGTTGGTAGCAAAGGTGACTGTTTTGATGATCTATACAAAAGTCTGAAGACATCAGAGTGCAGACTATCAAAGTGCTACAAACTTTGTACTTGTAGTGGATTCTGCACTGGTTCCAGACTTGCCAATTTCCACCAGGGCAGAAGCGGCCTTTCATCTTTGATAGTTCAGGAACTTGCATTTCTGTCAGACAACAGCCTAACCAGGGTGATCCATGTTTCTGTATCTTCCAGCTTAGACTATTGCAATTCACTCTATTCGGGGCTGAATGAAAATGCCTAAGTTGATGCAGCATGCTGCAAAAGCAACAAAGCCCAAGGCAAACATGACAGCTGTGCTTTGTGAAATCCAACACTATCATTCACTTCAGAACAGACTGCAACATCCTGTCCCTAATCTAAAATGCCCTTAACAGATTGGGACCTGCATAATTTAGACTGTTTTTCCACACAGGGACAATGCCATTGAAGGCCTAGACTCTCTTGTGACGCCAGCTACAAAAGTGCCATGCGAACGCCTGTTCTCACTTTCAGGTGATATTGTAAATAAGAAACAGGCAGCATTATCTCCCCTAAATGTAAACAAATGCATTTGTCTTAGCAATTGGCTGAACAAGAAGTAGGACTGAGTGGACTTGTAGGCTCTAAAGTTTTACAATGTTTTGTTTTTGAGTGCAGTTATGTAACAAAAAAAAATCTACATTTGTAAATTGCACTTACACGTTAGAGAGATTGTACTACAGTACTTGTATGAGGTGAATTGAAAAATACTATTTCGTTTTAGAAATTTTACAGTGCAAATCTTTGTAATAAAAATAATAATATAAAGTGAGCACTGTACACTGTACTCTGTGTTGCAAGAGAAATCAATATATTTGAAAATGTAGAAAAACATTTATTAAAATTCAATTGGTATTCCATTGTTTAGCTGTGCGATTAATCGCAAATAATTTTTTAAATCATGATTAATTTTTTTTAGTTAATCGTGTGAGTTAACTGCGATTAATTGACAGCACTAAATTAAACAAATCTTTACATATACATTCACCTGTGGGAACAGAAAGTACATATTTGTTCTGGACACTTGTGTCTTCATAATCTTGTCAGTTCTTATATGCCAAGTCAGTGCCCTATAAATACCTTAGACAGACACTAAAGGGAGTTGTATATCTGTTGAGCCCAATCCTGCAAAGTGCTGACTTCCTCACTTCCCAATGACTCAGGTGGGAGGGAGGCACTTAACACATTATAGCAGGTGCAGCACCCCTTTGCTGGATTAAGCACAGTGGGAATGCACCTCTACCACTCCTTATCGCTCCTTTCCAGTATTTACTCAGTTTTCCATCCAAAACAAGATTGTGCTACTTGGGGCAAGCTGAACAAACACTTCATAAATCAAATTTGTCTGGTTCCTGCTTGGTATGTGTTACCTGTACCATATAAAATGCAATTGTGCTTTGATGGATTTAAGTGAAGTAATTACATATTTTCCAAAAAAGTACCAAGTGAATTAAGTGGTGTCTGGATTACTTCTTAAATAAACCAACGTGCTGTAATATTCCTTTTTTCCCTCAGAAAGAGTGTTAGATGTTTTGTATGGGACATAATGTTTCTTTAGTTGTGTCCTCTCTGCTTCCACACTCACACCCACTCAGTATGCGTTGCCTTGATACTGCCTTTCCCAATCAGTGACCGAGGCACAATGGTACACTGAGTTCTTCATAGTCCATTTACCTTGACATTTTGATAATCATCTTTGGCAATAACAATTGATGTGTTCATAGATGCATGCTCTTGTATTTATTTAATTACTTTACAGTCACTAGAAGAACATACCTTATGGCAGATGTGGCAAACACCTGCCCATTTGATCCTACACTCAGAACAATAATTGAGGCTATCACAACAATAAGATCTGTTAAAAAAAACACACAGAACATTAGATTTATGCACTTAAACAGTCATTGAACACCAGATGAAAAAAGCAAACAAAAACCAAATGACTTTAGTTGAGTTTTGTCGGAACTGTGAGTTAACATAGTGGAGTTTCACATCTGGAAAACTAGGATGAAATTCTGGTTTAGGCTAAGTGAAAACATGTTTGGTAATCACATCAAAATTCCCTATTATTTCCACTTCAGAAAATGAGCACCTTCATCCCATTCCCTTTCCCCATACACACACTAAAAGAACATTATAAAGGGTGGAAACTCAAGCACTCAACAGTTATGAAATGCCAGAATTCAGGTTGCCTGTGATACCTTAATTTGACTCCATTGTGCTGTATGCATTATGATGCAGTCTTTAATTACATGATTACATTCTATTTTTCCCCAGAACTCCTACCTCATTCAGTGCACAGGATGGATGGTGTTCAATGTATGTTGTTTCCTCATCGTTATTCAATGTGTGGCCCATGCCTTATTCACTGCACACTATTTAAACCCTACTCTTAGACGCAATTTTTATTTCCTCCTCAAGGTCCTTATTATGGCACTGACCATTATAGTTTTGGAATGCTTCACAATTATTAAATTTATTTCCACAGCACCCCTGTGAGATGAAGGGGTGTTATCCCCATTTTACAGACAGGGAACTAAGGCACAAAGAGATTAAGGTCAAAAGTTTTACCTATTTGGGTGCCCAATTTGGGACACCTAGGACCTGATGTTTCATTAGCATTATATCACACTTAATACGTTCAAAGAATAGCTCTCCCATTGACTTCAGTCACACTTCTGAGTCCTCAGCACTTCTGCACATAAGACCCATCAGTCTCAAAGCAGGCACCCAGAAACTGAGACATGCTCAAGTAATTAACATACATGAAAAAGTTTGCTTCACGTGACTTGCCCAGCATCACATAGGAAGTATGTGGCACAGTCAAGGGTATAATTCAATTCCCCAATGGTAGAATTCAACTGCCTTTACGATGGAAGATCCCTGCCTCATTCACTACTCATCTTCCAACTTTTGCAACAAATAAGGCAAGAGTCCTACAGACAGTCTCCTTCACTACACAGCTCTGCTTCATCCCTAGAGCAGGTCCCTCCTGTGCACTTCCTGTCCTTTTGGGGAGGACACTGGTTGTCAACTTGTCCGGTCTATGCTCTGGCACCAGTTCAGCACACTGAGCCCACCCCACAGGAACCCTAGCCAGACTCCAGAAGAAGTTCCTGGAGTTTTTCTGGCCAGTCTGCACTGGGTCTCTGTGGGTGTCCTGAGCCTCCCCTTATGGGAAGGCAGACCAGATCTGCTCTGCATCCACAGGCAGGCCCACAGCTCCTGCATTCAGGCCCTGCAGTGACAGTGCAGGTAGTCATGCACGGAGCATTTTGGTGCACACCTTCCTCCATCATCTCCAATATGCCAAGCAGCTCTTATCTCCCAAGACCTCTCTGAGCTACCCGTCTTTTACTGGGACCTCCTCAGGGCCTGGAAGCATCTAGTGTCGGTGGCCAGGTCCGTAGCAGCCACTGTGGAGGAGGCCCTCCTTGCAGAACCCCTGCTACACAACCCCATCTCCATGTGCAGGTGAGGGAGTCCCCCTTTGATACACTGGAAGTTAGTCCTGGCTGGTACCATCAGACTCTGAGATGTCCTGGATTACGATCAGAGGGATTACAGGGCTCTGCCATTGCATGGAGCTGCCCACCCTGCACGTACCCTGTTGTGTGCTCCAAGAGGCGAGGGCAGCCTTGTCTCCTGCTTCTCTCGTTTTCCTCAAGTGGATCCTGAGGAAGGGTGCGCTCCACCCACTGCTGACCCTCTGGAACTTATCATCAACCCCTCTACCCCATAAACCTCCTTGGCCACACCCAACATGCCACCAGAAACGTCTGCACAACATCTAGCCAGTCTATCTTAAACCATGCCTCATGAACATCTCTCTATGCTCATTCTCCTCAACATCCATTTCCTCACCCCATACTACCAAGGGGGGGGACAAGTGGCAGGACCTCCTATGAATAGGCCTATGAACTGAATAAGGCAGAGGTGCTGTGGAAAAAACAGTACGCAATCATCTAATTAAAGACTATCATGATGCATATCCACAAGGGGGACAAATTAAGGTTGCACAACCAACCTTTATTCTGGCATTTCCCAACTTTTGAATGTTTGACTTTGAAACCTTAGTGCTCTTTGAAGATGGGATTTGTGTGCGTGTACTTTCTTAAGTTTTTTAAAAAGCAAACTGAAAACACAAATTCCATCAAGTGGCATCATATAGTGCACCCATATGGGACATCAGTAGGACTAAAATGTTTAGCTCCACCACACAGACCTCTGCTACTTGAGCTAGTAAGGTAACTGATAGCAGTAGTAAGTAGTCATCTTTTATGTGGACTGACACAGAAGAGAGCTGAGACACTTTGCCAGTGGGTTTCACAGATATTTGCTGACAGTAGAGGAATGTTTAGACTCAGGAATCTTGGGTTCAACTCCAGGCTCTGGAGAGGAGTGTGTCTAGTGGGTACAGACCTTTCTATCCATTCCCCACAATCTTGACTCCTCCTTCCCCATCCCCAGCAACCTGTCCCTGTCTCAATCTTTTCTCTTCTTCAGCCATGGTTCCTCATCCCAGTCCCTGTCTACTTTCCCACCTCTCATCCTGGCTGTTCAGAGATGTCTTCCCTCTTCCCACATTTTTTCCTGCCCCACTGATTCCCTGTCAGTCCCAATCTGCCAACCCCGGTCTCCCTACCCAACCAGTCTCAGCCCCCTCTGCTCCCTACAGCTGCCAGTTCCAGTCTTTGCTCACCCTAAATCCCAGTCTCTCTCTCAGCCATCCTCCCCAGCCTCCAGTTCCCACTTCCCCCACCATGTCCCAATCTATTCCCTTCCCCCTTGCCCAGATCTTGTCCTCTCAGTATATGAATATTGCAACTTCCTCCCCCATGCTGCCTGGGCACCAGCATGGGGTGAGCTGAGAGAGAGGGGAGATGGGTTCCCTGCTTTCAGTTCTGGGGCACAGGCAGAGGCTCAGGCCCAGACCCAGACCCAGGTTGCACCAGCCCACAGCTGCAAATGTAGGCAAAGTTTTGCTTAGTCTCCTGCAGCCCTGGGCTTGAGCATGCCCAGTGAGGACTGAATCTTGGGGAATTTAACTGCAAAGCTTTAGCAAAGGTGGAACCAAATTTGCGTGGATTTTCAATAGAATGGCAAAAGGCCTATCCATCACACAAAGATCACTATTATATCAAATTTCAAGTTGTTGCTCCAAACTATGGTGTTGCTAGAGCTCATAAAAGGAAAGGTTTGCATAGGTTAACATTCTGGTACACAATCTATTCTTCTCAACCTCATTTTTGGAAAAGGCTCAAACCATTTGCGGTGAAATTTTATAGAAAAAAAAAGTATTAGCCTGAGGCAGACACCTACCATGTAAAATTTCAACCCAAATAGTTAATGTTTAGCCAAGTTTTCAGCAATTGCAAGCAGGGTGTTATAATGGGAAGTATTGGGCAACCGTGCCTTTGATATTGGACCAAAAGTCACCCAACTATTTCTTTACTGGGATCTTGGAGATCTCTAGTATGTCAAAAATCAGAAAAAAAACCCACATGGAATGCATGTAAAACTGACTTTACTAATAAGGTATACAACTAATCAAGTTAAAGCTTTCCTAGATTTGAAAGTACACTAAGTATTACTTGTGTTGGGGTCTAACTAACCCCATGATCAAAGATACTTTTAAGAAGCTACATGCTATGCTGGTGTCAGGGTCTAACTGACCCCACGTTTAGACAAAACAAGATAGCAACAGCAACAATATAAGAGGCCAGGGGCAGGCACAAGGGGGGGGGGGGCAATCAGGGGCATGCATCCCCCATAATCATTGGGGGACACAGAACTCCTCCAGCCTCAGGGCTGGGGCAGGGGAAAGCAAGCTCCTGCCGGAGCCAGGGACAGGGGATGGAGGGAAGGAAAAGTGAGATCCTGCCGGGGGGGGGAGGGGAGGCACAGAACGTGGCCCCCTAAAAGGGTCAAAGTTAAATGTCTGTGCACGCCCCTGTAAGAGGCACAAACAGCAAAATGGCAGTAAATAGCCTACTACTTTGAACAAATGGGGCAAATAAGTGACATATGTTCTGAATGTACAATTTCACATTTTGCACATTTTAGAGGTGTTTTTCTGTCTCATTCTCTGGAACAGATGTAACATCTTGCCTGTTTCTTAGGCTCTGGACCAGTACCTAGCACACTAATCACTATTCCCCTAGAAACCGGAGGCAGGCTGCAATGTTGCTTTCGTGCACCAGTGGTTTCTTCATTTTTATACCCAGGTCCCTGAAAAACATCCATCTCTTACTTAAGGATTTATTAAGCCAGGGGCAATTCAACAAAATCCAAACAATATATGCATTCAGACACGCAATGTCCAAAATGTTCGCAAAAACTACCATCAGCCAGTGTTTGCCTATCCATTTTGAAATGGATGAGGATACCATCACACGTGTCCTTTTGTTTCATTATAAAAATAAACGATATCTGGTTTTGCTTCAGCCCCAGAGGTAGAAACATCTGAGTGCATAGATGACAACAGTAATACCGCTTTCCTCTTTTTGGGTACATAACTCACAAGGGTCATATTTTCCTGGAAACCAAACTGGAGTGATCAGGTTTTGCCAGTTGGGAAGGAACTGAGCAGGAATTTCAGGCTTGTTCCTTCTCATTGTGCCAGCCAAAAGTTAGTTTTTTTGGGCAGCAAGCCCCTTGCAAGTCTAACACTGGTGAAAAAAATTGTTCCTTGTTGCCTTTAAAACTTGTGCCCATTTGTTAACCATGTTTCTTGCCAGATTTCTTGCTGTTGCTGCATTCCCCTCTCTGCCAGCGTATATGTCAGCATTTAAAACATACAAAGCTGTGAAGTCACAGCATAGCAGAATTTAATGCTAGACCTGGCTGATTTTG